TACAAATATACATACAGTATGTATCATCGGATGGATGAGTCATATATATATATATATATATATATATATATATATATATATATATATATATATATATATATATATATATATATATATATATATATATATATATATATATATATATAAATATATATATATATATGTATGTATCACCCTATTTTTGGGTCTCGTGTCTGAAACATTAGTTATTCTTCATATAGCCTGCTTGTCACTAGTACTTCTATGGAGTACTGATCCCTCCGGGGGCCCTCACATTTTTCAGGTTAAGGCTAGAGTCCTACTACCTGCACCTTTGCCTAGGGTCATCATCCAAGAAGGAAGACGTGGTTCGTGCTTCCATTCGTGTTTGAAATTTATAAACTGCTCATGGGTTTTTGAACAATGTTTTCCTTAAAACAGTTGGGGGCCTGCGTGCCCGTGTTTGCCACGTGTGGCTAAGTATCAAACATATTATTATTTCTGCATTTGTCTGATTATGATATTGATGTTGATTATATGTGTTTACTAATCGGTTTGGCAATAGAATCAATCGGACGCCTTGTGCAATTCAATAGGGATGAACTGTTGTTGTTCTTATCGGGTTGTACGGTGGTTGTCTACGTGGCTCGGATGCGGTCCGGGGCGTGACATACACGGCCTTCTCTTCTCCCCCTAGAGCCAAGGGATGTGGCTCGGCTAGCCCCCACGGAGGCTCCCGCAGCTAGTCCCCTAGGGTTGTTCCTCGTCGGCATACGTTTACCCTCCATTTCTACAAAAAATTTGAACGAGTCTTTAGACTCCAATCAATGTCAATTGATGGAACACGTTATAGACACATATCGGCCCAAGTCACCACCATCTTAACAACTAGAGGCCTTGCAACCTAGGTAACAATAGTTCTATGAACGTCAAAATACAATGCTCATGGTTTTCGGTAAAAATTCCTTTTTGCAAATTTCATGTGAGAGGTTGATTACGTAGTTCAGAACTGAGATGGCTCTGATACCACTTAATTGTCACGCCCCAGACCGCATCTAAGCGCGTGTACAACCACCGTGTGATTAAGTGACATCACTCGCAAGTCAACCTCACATAATCACACAAGGCGTTCATGAACATCGTTCACACCATACTCAGTAGTAAACATACATAACAACATCACATCACAGATCGAATGAATAGCGGAAAATATTCAACGTTCAATCATAAGCCACATATGGCAAAACGTAGGCTCGCAGGCCAAAAACAAAAGTATCCATGAGCATAGTTTATGATTTAAAATAATAAAGGAAGCACGAACCACGTCTTCCTCTAGATTCTTTCCACCCGTGCAAAGGTGTAGACAACAGGCTCTAGCTTCAACCTGAAATGGTGGGCCCCCCGAAGGGGTCAGTACAAGTACCGAGCGAGTAGCAAGCTAAATGTAGAGTAACTAACGTTTCAAGTATAAGACCCAAACATAGGGTGATACGTATACTTATACTTCCTTACCCCAAGTTACAAAATACATATCAGTACTTATATACACTTGGAAATACCTGACTCGTAGGTCATTGCTTAATTGGGAAAAATAATAGTAGTCAATGTCCTTGACTCAAAACCCCAACCCACCCATAGACCTATGAGTGTATAGGACTCCTCCTGTCCAAATCAAATAATCATAAGGACACCGCCTGGTCCTGAATTACTAAATAGTAATCTATGAGTTTTGAGGATACACGCCCGATCCTTGGGTACTCCACCCTATATAACCGAGTTTTGAGGATACCGCCCGATCCTTGGGTACTCCACCCTATATAACCGAGTTTTGAGGATACCACCCGATCCTTGGGTACTCCACCCTATAGAACCGAGTTTTGAGGATAACGCCCGATCCTTGGGTACTCCACCTGACCTATGATCTACCACATATCATACTAGATAGGGCCTATATCATAATCAATAAACAAGACTAGACCAAGTCTTAAGGCCTAAACAAAATCATCCATGCAACTCATGGATTAAAATTAGCATATAGGTAAAGTAAGGCCAAATCGGTGTCGGTCAACTCTCGGTTGACCTGCCATTCCAAATCCAATGTGTGTCAAGCTTAGTCATAATATGTACTAAGTTATAAATAACTATTTTATGCACATTTCATCTCTAAACATATCACATATGTTTTTATGAGCATTTTCACTTCACAAATCATGCCTATTTCAATTGTTCACTTCATACAAGCCTAATCACTTTAATTGGCTAATCACATGTTTAATACATTTAAATATTATTATGAACACACATAACATATACTTAAGTAATCTCATGCTTAACCCAAAAGTTACAAGACATTAAGCCATCCACTCACCTCAAATGAGCTTTAGGAAGTTTCTACTCTTCTTAGTTGAACTCCGGTGAGATTCCGGCGAAACTCCGGCAGAATCTAGAACCACTTTAGTCAAGCTCCTAACATGGTTTTATCATTACAAAACTCATATCAACACAATAACCCCTAAAAGGTTATTTTCCGGCGAACCGGTCGTTTTGGCCTCTAAGTCCGTTCCTGGACTTAGAACTACCTTCCAACTCCTCATTCTACACTTCTAAACAATCCTAGGGGTCCTTCATATGCTATATAAGCCATATGATAAATGAAAAGTAGAGGAAAAGTTATTATGAGGTTATTACCTTAATGCTTCACACTTTTGCTAACTTTTTCCTTCTTAAATCCTCCTCTTTGGACCACTATGGCTAGAGCTCGAATTTGGGTGTGAAAATGGTGAGTTGCAGAGCTTCCTCTTGCTATCTTGGTGAGCTTGGGCGGATGAATGGAGGTGGTGAGGGGAGAGGTAACTTTTGTCTCATTTAGACAAATGAGTTAGGTGGCGGTCCACCTTTGATCCTTTCTCACCCAATACATCACCCTCAGCCCCTCTTCTCATTATTCACAGCCATAATTTGACAATATCAACATCCAAAAATGTGGGGTGGCCCCCACTCACGTGGGAGGTCATCCCTTTGTGTCCCGAACTGTACAATCGGTCCCGAAAGTTGTATTTCTCGGACTGTTTTAACTATATTTTATTTTATCGGGTCAAATAAAATATATTAAGTGTCCTCCATCATTATGGGTCTTTAGAATGAATCTACATACCCCAACTTTAATTTAGAAGTCTCCGAAATTCGTTTCGGACTGTTATCCGATAATTTACTAATACCGGTAATTGGGCCTCGTTTGACCAACGGGTCAACCCTATGCCCTTTCTATGGCCCAATTAGAATATCCACCACCATATAAATATTATCTAGACCAAGATGAATATAATACGTGGTCCCGGGTTTATCGGGTGGTCCCCGCTCCTGATGTGGGCCCCACGTGCAATTCACTATTCACGCAAATGTAATAACAAAAATTCACAACCTCGTAAATTCACGAATCATTATTCAAGATTTATGACATTATTTACTAAAAAGTAAATATATTTGGGGACGGTGTTACACAATCTTAGTGAGACGAACCGATAAGGTAAAATGAGACAATCATAGCGGGACGGAGATAGTATTATACTACTAAATTTATACCTACAAAATTTGTAAAGTCTTTTTGTAACGGAGGTAATACTTCGTATTATATACGTGAATTGAGAAAAGTGTCAAATTGGCCCTTGTACTATGTACGGATAGTCAATTCTGCCCTCGCCCCCTCGTAGTTTAAATTTCATCAATTACACTCTCGAACTTTATGATTTTCGGCAAAACTGGCTTCTAGGAGGTAACTTGCTTGTCAGCAGGTTACCTGCTGATGTGGCGCACACGTGGACTCACACAGCACACACATGGCAGGCCATGTCAGTTTCCCTTTCCTTTTTCCATTTTCTTTTTCCGTTTCCTTTTCTTTTCCTTGCTTTCTCTTCCCCCGCTCCCCCATTCTTTCATGCGCAGACTGTACGTCTTCAACCTCACCCCACAAAATTCCAGCTCCATATTTCTTCCTTTCTTCATTTCTCTTACCCCTTTCCCTTTCTTTCATTATACATCACCTGCAAAGTGCGAACCACCCCATTTTCTCCAAATCCCTATCCGACCTCGCCAACAACATCATCTCCCTCATTGGCCTTCTACTCCCGGAAAACATCAATAACAGAGCTCTTAATCGAAGTTTGATTTGGCCCGTCGTCTGGAATCGAGAGCACGATGAACTCCCTTTCATGTCACTCTTCCCCACCTTCTCCGGCGTCACCAAGCTCACGAATCCATCTCGTTTTTGGAATTGTGGTGAATAGCGAGGACGCTGAAGAGTTGTTCGCCGTGCTGGATGTCCCCTGGCTTAGTCTTAAACGGAGTGATTTCGAATCCTCCGTTCAAGGAAGAGATCCGGGCGATCCAAATTTCCAAATTTAAATGGGGCAGATCACCATTCGCCGCCACCATGAACAGCCTGGAGTGGTATTAAATGGTCGGAAATGGTAAATATGTGGCCGGAAATTAAGGTCGTGGAGGAAGAGCCAGGCTTGCGCAAGAAAGAAATGGTCTGCGCATGAAAGCATGGGGGCGGTGAAAGAGAAAGAAACACGGAAGTAAGGAAAGAAAAAGAAAAAAAACAAAAGAAAAGAAAAGGAAAAAAATCTAATGTGACCCACCACGTGTGCACCATGTTAGGCCACGTATGCGCCACATCAGCAGGTAACCTGCTTACCGGGCTGATTACCTGCTACAAGTCAGTTTTGAAGAAAATTTCAAAATATGAGGACTTAATTGATGAAACTTAAAATACGAAGATATAATTGACTTTCCGTACAGAGTATGAGCCCAATTTTCTCAGTGACTTAGGATGCTTTTACTTAGACTGTAATTCGTCCCAGACCAGATCAGACCAGACCAGATCAGACCAGACTTGGATAGTTATAACAATAAAAAGAAATCAGACCACATTAGTTCAGACCAGACCAGATCAGACCAGATCATATCAGATCAGCAAATTAGGATCCAAGTAAAAACATCCTTCTACTAGGAAAAGTGTACACTATATTGGTTGCTGCTTTTTTAGGAACTGCTAACGTGAATAACACGTGCAGGATTTCCATTGTGTGGGATCATATTCCACCTTTTCTGAAACTACTCAGGAATTCCGATCAACTTCAATGGCTGGGTTCGCAAAAGCATTCAGCGCTGCGAGAGATGCGGCTTCTACCGCCTGGGGCTGTACGAAACAGCTTCCGAACTCATCAACAGACCAACCAAAGGCCGGAGATCAAACTTCCCAAACCGTAGATCTTCAAGCGTTTCTTTTGAAGCCATCAGAAGAAATCCTGAATGTAAGTCCCGCACTCACTCGCGCTTATGAATTTAAACTCCCGCCATGCACCTGAAAACTGATCAAGTGTTTGAATACAGGGAATGTTTACAAGTATGGTCAAGAGCGGTGAGACGATTCTGGAGAATTGGATGAAACGGGACGGAGAAGATGTTGAGGTCTTTGAACAATTCAGCCTGTTGGCGTCCGAAATCGTATCCAGTACTACTTTTGGAAAGAATTGCTTGGAAACAAACGGAAAATCTCTTGACATAGGGTAATTTCCCTCATTCTTTTTTACTACGGAGTAACTTTTCAGCATAACAAGTCATAAAAATTGTCAACATAACAATATCTTATTCTCTGATTTTATATAACTTTTAGTGTAATCACTAATTATGTGAATTTTAATTATATATATTAATTTAAATAACATATGTAATTTCTAATTTTTTTAAAACCTTATCATTAGTTAATCATCCTAATCATCCTAGGTTGGACTTTACCGAAACCTTCATGTGGGATGGAGGGAGTAATACATATACTATAAATACATGTGTGGGGAAAGGGTTTTATACATATCTCTGGAGACAGCATGAAAATATAGCTTTCTGTTCACTCAAGGATATTTTGGGATTACAAAATTCCATCATATAAGTGGTTATGTGTTTCATTCTGTTTCTTCTTTACTTATTGAAGTACCTCTAGGCAATTGAGAAACCAACTGAATTAGCTTATCGTTATGGATATTGGAGTAATATGAAGTTACATGTTACCTAGGGTACTTGTTCCTTTGTCTTTGTGGGGGGTTGGAACTTTTGGATGATCAAGTTTATTGTTTGTGCTTTAATTATAATAATATGATTGTTTTTTAGAATTATTCTATGCAGTTTAGATCAAGACTTATGCATTTGCAGGTATGTTATTGAATGGTTTTACTGTTCCAGTTATACTTTATAATTTATATGCTTAGAGCATCATCAATGGTATGTTGTTCACATTAGTAAAAGTTGCTACGTCATGGATGTCAACACTATTTGTAAAATTTTAAGCTCCAAAGCTTTCTATCTATAGTCATGTGGTGATGACGTGTAAAAAAATAATGTCGACTCTGTTAATGTGAATGTCGTATGATAACAGAGTCCTCCACATGATGACTCAGCAAAATTGGCTGATAACTACCCAAAAAATTCCGGAAAAACGCCAACTCTGATCTCCCGAAACCATTAACTCTACAAAAAATCACTCTTTAATCTGGATTATAAAGAGTGGTTTTTTATCGTAAGAAGAATTGATATTTGATATTTGATTCACTAATTTAGCAAATTTGTTAACTCATAGCAGATTTGAAGAACAAATGGTGGAGGGCTCCCTTTCAAACCAGACTCATTCATGTTTCCTTGAATATCAAAGCTAGCTAGATGAGACGTGAGCAGGGTAAACTTGAGTGTAATTAGACTGTTAACATGAGAAGCATTAGATCATATTTTGGACTTTCACGGTCTAATTAAACCACCCTCATATGACATGGATTGACATTCCGTTTATTGATCGACATGTGTTAATGTTTATTCCTTGTTAACAATGTAGCATTAAAGATGCTCTTAGCACCTTAGCATAACCCCTTGAGGTTTGAACATCTTTAAGAAGAAAACATTATCTGTACATTTCATATTTTTCTCATGTCTTTCTATGGAACAAATAGTTGGGTTATGAAGAAGAATGATGTAATAGAATCCAAGATACTTTAGCAAATAAAGATTACGGAATAACTTTTTAGGAAAAACCTCCTTGGGAAACTCCTAGAGGCCAACCAAGAAAGTGAAAAGAACAAAAAGGTGTCAATTGAGGAGGAAATTTCACATGAGTGCAAGGCATTCTGCTTCGTAGGATATACTGCAACAACATCTCTCCTCGGTTGGACGATGCATATGCTATCTAGAGACAAGAGCTTGCAAGAAAAAGTGAGGAATGAAGTGATTGCAATATTTGGCTGCGAAGATCTCCATCCAGAAGGCATTGCAAAATTGACAATTGTAAGTACCATCAGACCATAGGAAAACTAATGTGTAATATTTTTCCCAAGTGGTAAAAGCTAAACGTAACCATATTCAAATAGGCCTAAATTACTCCAAGAGGATCTGGATACTTGACAACAAGACAAACCATGTGGTGCTAAACAAATAACAATTGGAATTGTTTATGATACTATATTATATACTCCGTATTATACTACATAGTACTACGTATTATATATGGTCTATCTTGCCTTGAAGGGTCGTTTAAAGGTGAAGTTTACCTCATACATATATATTAGACTCAAACACGGTAAACGATCAGTGTGGTTATCTGTTTTTAGACCGTTCAGTATTGCTATCTGTTTTCAGTTCTTTGTTTTATGGTTTTTAAATTTAGATCATATTTTTTCTATAATGAGAAAATCTATAGTCACTTATACTAGTAGTAAATATGTTAATTTTGAAAAATGCCAACAAAAAACTGAAAACAACATTTCTTAGTTTTAGATTTTTTTTTTATATAAAAAGAAACAGAAAACAAATCAACAAGGGTTTTCCTGTTTTATGTTGTTAGATGGATAAGATTCTTGAAGATTGTGAAAGGTCATACCCTCTAGTACCATTCCTCAAAGTGATGGTTGCTGAGGGATACGAAGAAAAACAGCCTGACAAGGACAAAACAAATCTGATCACCTCTCAGTTGTTTGGTTGTGACCGTGGAACATGTCTGGCGTTGGATTTCGCAAAGATTGAAGCTAAAGTTGTTCTTTCGATGATCCTGAGGCGTTTCTTGGTCACACTCTCCCCTGCTTACATTCACTCCCCAGTCTATAGCTATATGATCACTCCAAGACATGGTATCAGAGTTATTCTCCAAGTGCAGAGAGAAGATAGTAAGACAATGAAGATCGTCAAAACTGTTGGTGTGGTTGCTGGTGTCGCTGTTGCAGCATGGGGTATAACAAAGCTGTTAGGTAGTTTCGGACTGGATGAACCAGTTTCAAAACCTGAACAAAGAAAGAAGATGATGAAGAATCCAGGAAGGCCTCACCAAGTCATTGAAAGGAATGGGTTTGAATCAGCACCAGCAGCGCGCTTCAAGATGAACCGTGAGCTGAAGAAAGCTGAGAAATTAGCAAAGGCTGCGCTAGGAATCAAATAAAAGTATTATATCGAGCCGCATTAATTAGTTTTGTTTACTGTTATCCACAAGATTATGACCACTTTGTAATGTCTTCTACATTATCGTACTTTTTGAAGTTGTGTCACTTGAGACCAATCACCCTCTAATTTCATGGTCAGATTACCCTGTATTATGTTATCTTTAGTATGGCTTAACTCTTGGATCTAGTTTTATGTGGTGTGTATAATCCACTTAATTGTTGGACGCAAAAATGTCTTGCCTGTTCTTGGTCTGGGGTTGGGATCGCTATTGTTGTTCCGGATCGGGTTATGCCGTTATGGGAGTAGGGTGGCCAGTTTGGGAGTCACCGGCCAGTTTGAGATAATAATTTTCTTGCAGTTGGTCGTTTTCAGTGGTTTTAGGTAGCAATAACTAAATGTTGGGGTAGTATGGGATTTCCTCTCTGATTTGTTTAAGAGTTGGTCGTTTTTTACTCTGATTACAATAACAATTCATTTCGTATTTTTGTCATAAATATATACTCCCGACCTCCGGTTCTCAAACAACTTCTCACTTTCCTTTTCGGGAAGTCTCGAAATTAACTTCACACTTCTTCTTATTTTCTTATTTGACAAATTATCTACACCAAAACCGTGCAAAATAATGTCAAACAGTGTCCAAATAGTGTCAAATAGTGCACTCCACAGTAAAGTCAAATTTATTTTCTTAATCTGTGTGAAGTCAAATTGTGAAGCTCTTTGAGAACCGGAAGGAGTACTAAAAACTTTGTTTTCAGTCCTTTTAATAATAAATTGGATTATTAGCTAAATATATTCTCAAGTATCATCAAATTCACAAATCTATCTTATATTTTCACTTTTATTAAAAAAACTCAAACTTTAACTATTATCACAATTGCACTCTTAATGAATGAATTAGCAAAACAAAATAAGAATACCATATTTATATTTCATATTTTTTCACTTCATTCTAGTTTTATGTTTAGAAACTTGTATTGCTTATATGTTAGTGGTATGGATAAGAATGTACAATTTTGAAAAACAAAAAAGAAAATCATAATTGATGAAAAAATGAAGTCCTGGTCTTTTTATGATAAAAGTCAAATAACAGGTAGCGATGAAAAGAAGTGTCTTTGTTAATAAGTAACGATGAAATAATATGTTGCACTGTAGTTATTATTTTAGTGATGAACATCGTCAAGCGAGCACTTTTTAACGAGGGAATATACTACTACAACCAATGGTCGTTATAGAACTATATTTTATAAAGGTTCATTACTCGTTATGAGATGCACTCTAGAACTGTTAGATGACACTCCATTATGAAACAGGACGGCACCATTTTGCCACAATCCTAAACTATTTCAAAAAATGCAAGCATTAAAAGATTTTTATAGATGAATAGTAAGAAAGCAAAAAGCAACAAAATTATAACTATAAATCTTTTGCTCATCAATTAGAAATTGAAAGTGCAAAAACATTTGAGTTGTACTTACTCTACCTTCTCAATTATTGGGACTAGTAAAATAAGTTGTAACCTATGTACCTCGTATATTATACTCTGTATTCCTTGTTAGTACGTTTAGTAAATCTTCTATGTGTTGGTGATTTTAATGTCATCGGCCGTTTTGTGTAATTGGAAATGACATGAGTGCCAATGAGGATTAGAACCGTGTTCTAATACAAGTTAGGAGGTGTGGAGTGCACACTTGTATATAAGAACGAGTTCTATTCCAAAGTGTCTACGACAGTGGAACTCGAGGTAGAACACTCAGTAGACCAACTCTGTGGTTCTAGACCGAGGTCTAGAGCGGTTGGGCAGTTTCGTGCAGTTTTTCCAAAAACGGTCACAGTTATTCCAAAACGTGTTGCAACTGCCTGGGACGTGTAATATGGATATATATCACCATATTTCGCACAGAGAAGATAGAGGAGAAAACATATCCAACATATCTTCATCACTTTGGCACTCAAATTAAAGATAACAATCCATATACTCGACTAGTTTTGCTCTAGTTCTTGTGCCTAATTTCTAGAGTGTCCTTAAGGATTATTCTAGATTGACTTTTTTGTAACCCAGGCATAGGGGAGAAATATCAATTCGGAAAGTGAACTTACACGATCCTTAAGCAATCCAAGTATTCGATTATCACCCCCTACGTGATATATCCCAACAATCGAATTGATATTTCCTTTGTGATAATCATGAGTACCATGGAAGAGATGACATCCAAGTTCAACAAATTGGACAAGTTTCAAGGGAACGATTTCCGTAGATGGCAAAAGAGGATGCACTTCCTCCTCACCACTTTGAAGGTTGTGTACATGTTGAGCACTCCGATGCCGGAAGTGATGGAGGACGAAACCTTGGAACAAACTAGGAGGCGTGACAAGCTAGTGGGAGAACGATGACTACATATGTAGAGGCCACATTCTTAACGGTATGTCCGATGCGTTATTTGATATTTACCAAAACGTTGAGAGTGCGAAGGAATTGTGGAATTCTCTTGAGTCAAAATACATCGTCGAGGATGCTTCTAGTAAGAAGTTCTTGGTGAGTGATTTTAATAATTATAAAATGGTTGACTCAAGGCCAGTTATGGAACAATACAATGAACTCCTTCGTGTTCTTGGTCAATTTAAACTCCACAAGATAGGTGTTGATGAGTCATATGCCGTGTTGAGTATAATTGACAAACTTCCACCCTCTTGGAAGGATTTTAAACGTTCTTTAAAACATCAAGATGAGGAACTGTCATTGGTTCAACTTGGGAGTCACTTGCGCATTGAGGAGAATCTTCGTGTGCAAGAGAATGACCAAATTATGGGTGAAGTTGAATCTAGACTGGCTCATGTTCACTTGGTTGAGGATAATAAATCTAACCTGAAAGATAAAGGGAAAGACAAAAAACGTAAGTATGAAGACTATGACAAACCCAACAAGAAACCGAAAGGTTTGGTTTGTTGGAGGTGTGAAAAGGTTGGACATGGCAAGCGTGATTGCCGTGTGAAACTGAACAAAAATGGCACTGAAACGAGTGACAGTGGACAGGAACGGTCTAAGGATCTGGTTCCACGGAAAGGAGGTCAGTTCCTGACTAACTTTGATAATTCTATCCAGAATTATGTATCACTCATTCCAGAATCTTTTTATGTACAGGATGATGACTGTGCATGGTGGATTGACTCGGGGGTTACGAGCCATGTGTGTAAGGATAAAGGATGGTTTGAAGACCTAGAACCAGTGGAGGTCGGTTCCTTCTTACGCATGGGAGACGAGTCAATGGTGCCTATCTTGGGAAAGGGTGTAGTTGTTTTAGAATTTACTTCTGGAAAAACAATTACGTTGTTTGATGTTTTGTATGTACCGAAGGTTCGAAAGAATCTTGTTTCGGAAAGTATGTTGAATAATTTAGGGTTCAAACAAGTGATTGAATTAGATAAATATATTCTGTCCAAGGGTGGTGTGTTTGTTGGTTTTGGATATTTATCAAATCGCATGTTTCGTTTAAATGTTGTGAATAAATTAATTTTTGGTGATGATTATGTTTTTGTGGCATCTTCCATGAATGATTATATGATTTGGTATGCTAGACTAGCTCACGTTAATTTTAGAAAAATGCATGAAATATCTAAAGATGGTTTAATTCCGGCTTTTGATATTAATGATGATAAGTGTAGGTCTTGCATGCTTACTAAGATCACAAAACAACCGTTTCCTAATGTTGAAAGGAATTCGGTTATTTTGGATCTTGTACATAGTGATCTATGTGATTTTCACTCAACTCCTTTCCTTGGCAATAATAAGTATGTTGCTACTTTTATTGATGATTCAACTCGATTTTGTTATGTGTATTTATTGCACACTAAGGACAAAGCCTTAGAGAAATTTAAAGTGTATAAAACCGAGGTTGAATTGCAATTGGGTAATCCAATTAAATGTCTTAGGACTGATCCGGGAGGAGAATATAGGGATCCCCATTATTTTCAATCTGTTGGAATCATTCTTGAGACCACGGTTCCGTATACACCACAACAAAATGGTGTGGCCGAACGGAAAAATCGAGTGTTAAAAGAAATGGTTAAATCCATGCTTTCCTACTCGGGTTTGAGTGAAGGGTTTTGGGGAGAGACCATGCTCACGGCCTGCTATATTTTAAATAGGGTTCCAAATAAAAGGAACAAGACAACCCCATATGAGCTTTGGTACAAGAAAGCGCCGAATTTGAAATATTTTCGGGTTTGGGGTTGTAGGGTGGTTGTAAAATTACCCGAGCCCAAAAGGAAAACTTTGGGGGAAAGAGGAATTGATTGAATATTCATAGGGTATGCTGAACATTCCAAGGCTTATAGGTTTTATGTAATAGAACCTAATGATGCGGTAGCGGTTAACACCGTGATTGAGTCTCGGGATGTGATCTTTGATGAGATGAGATTTTCATCAATTCAAAGACCAAAGGAACTAGTTCCAAGAACTAGTGAGGTGCCAGTTCCAGAATGTTTGGATGGTGCTTTGAATCCCGAAGCACCACAAATAAGGAAAAGCAAACGAGGCCGCATCGTGAAAGACTTTGCTCCCGATTTTCACTTGTATTTAGTGGAAGGTTCAATATTGTTACCAAGTTGAGAATGATCCAAAGACCTTTAAAGAGTCAATGGAATCCCGAGATGTTGCCTTTTGGAAGGAGGCAATTGATGATGAAATGTCATCTATTATGGAGAACAGCACTTGGGTGTTGTCAGATTTGCAACCGGGTTCTAAACCCTTACGTTGCAAATGGATCTTCAAAAAGAAGATGAAAGTGGATGAAACTGTTGACAGGTTCAAGGCTCGGTTGGTCATTCAAGGTTTTAGACAAAACCCCGGAATTGACTATTTTGATACGTATGCTCCGGTTGCTCGAATTACAACCATTAGGTTGTTAATTGCTTTGGCGGCTATACACAATATGATTATACATCAGATGGATGTCAAGAGAGCATTTTTAAATGGTGATCTTGATAAGGAAGTTTACATGAAACAACCGGAAGGTTTTGTTATGCCGGGAAATGAGCATAGGGTTTGTAAACTTGTCAAATCATTGTATGGGTTGAAACAAGCACCCAAACAATGGCATCAAAAGTTTGATGACGTTATTTTGTCCAATGGTTTTAGTTTAAACCAATCGGACAAGTGTGTCTATAGCCGATTTGATGCCTTAGGGGCGGGTGTGATCATATGTCTCTATGTTGATGACATGCTGATTTTTGGA